TCTCTGAGTGGGCTTTCAAGCCCTAGCTGGGGGAACCTGGAAGGAAAGCGGCAGCGAGTGGTAAGCAAGACGCAGCCTCTGTCACCGGAGCAGGCGCCATCGCATCAGGCCAGCAGGTACCGCGATGGGTCAGCCACCAAATCCGACACAGCAGCACAGCTGGATGGGGTGACGTGCTGAGAACTCTGGAGTGAGTGTTGTCAGCAGAGGCCGGGGCCGAATGCTGTCCAGGATATGAATCACTTTAGGACACAAAATGATGTTGATGATCGTCCCAAGGAGTTGTTATTCTCCAAGACAGTAAATCTCAGGCATAAACTTGAAAAAGGTGGTCCGAACCTGTGGGCTGCACACTCCCTGGGCTACAGAACCACTAGGAGGGGTCCTCCCTCTCCCCACTTCCAAGACACCTGCTGTGACTCGGCCTCTTCCCGCCTTGGGGCGCCAGCCTGCATTCCGGCAAACAGTGCCTTCCTCAAAGGGCTGTTGAGAAGATTCCAGAGAATACACACACAGGGCTCTGTGCACTCCCGCACACAGGAAAACACTAGAAATCATGCCCACTGCACGCACCCTGTTCAGATGGAAAGCTACCTTAGACACGTGTGCATCTGCGGTTATAAATGAAAAGAGAGGCTCCTGTGATTAATAAAGTTCAAATGCATTTAAAAGCCTGACTGAAGTCATTGTTATTTGTTTTGATCATGATGGACCGTCAGTGTGAGTTTGGTGGTGAAAGACCTGGTTCACAATTTTCTTATGTTAAAAAAAGATCCCCACGCCTAAAAAACAAAACAAAACGTTTTCATCCACAGCTTTAATGCTCAGGATCATTAATGGCATTGCAGAAATGGAAAAATAAAAGTCAGCCAGGCTCTGTGTCTTGCACCTATAAATCCCAGAACTTTGAGAGGCCAAGACCAGAGGATTGCTTGAGCTCAGGCAGCCTGGGAAACATGGCGGGATCCTTGTCTCTAGAAAAAATGAAAAATTAGCTGGTTGTGGTGCTGAATGCCTGTAATCCCAGTTACTTGGGAGGTGGGAAGGTCACTTGAATACAGGAGGTGGAGGCTGCAGTGAGCTATGACCATGCCACTGCCCTCCAGCCTGGGTGACAGAACGAGACCCGGTCTCTTAAAAAAAAAATTAGTAAAACAAAAGTCACAACATGCACATCAAGACATTGAGAAAGAGGACAGGGGTCTTTTAACACCCAGATGGCAATTTAACATCCTTATTCACCTGCCTGGGGCAGCTGCTTTGGATGTAATAACTAGACCAGTGTTCAGGCCTCCAAGGGTACAACAGGACATCGGCCCCAAGAATCTGGGGATGTTTGCCCACCTTGTTCACTCCAGAACCTTCAGCACTTAGAACAGGGCCTAGTGCAAAGTAATCCACAGTAAACATTTGTGGAATGAATGAATGGTACGTATGACTCAGAAATTAAAGCGGAGGTTTCCAGTCTTTTTAGAGATCGTCAACTCAATGAGTTTGACTAGAGTTATTTCTAAGAGAAATGTAACAGCACAGAGAGCACATCTGCCACCAGCCACACCCACGCCATGGACTCAGGGAGCACGAATGACATCTATCCCGCTCACACAGGCAGTGGCTAGACACCAATCATACAGCATCCTACGAGAAATAAACTTCTGCAGGCACTAATCCACTACAAATTTCTTCTCGTCGCACTTCACTGCTTTATTTCCTCCTTTGTGAAGGTGTTTTTTAAAAGCATAAAAATGAACGCTTATGATGCCAAACAACGTGAAGAACCCCCTCCTGGAATTCACAGCTTTATGTTCTTAGCGCACCTCCAAGCTACCTGGGGCCAGCACGGTCAACGACACACATGTCCACACCAGGGCCTGGCGGGTCCAAGCACCTCCTGTCTACCTGGCGCACCCCGAGGCGGGTGTTTGAACTCATGCTGAGCACTCTGTGGGCTGAGGGAGCCAGGGCAAAACAGGCATCCCTGGCAGCTGACATGAACCCCAGACGACCACATGCTCCTCTGAGGGAGGAGATACCCGTTTTCACACTTGAACCTGATCCTGAGTCCAGAGCCGCATGGGACCAGAGCAGAGGGTGGCTGTTGCTTTCTACAGCCAGCAGGGGCCTCCAGCACCTATGGAAGGAGTCAAGGGCAAGCCTGGAGCCCTGCTGCCAGCGGCGGCTCAAGTTAGGAGATAGGCAGGAACCTGCAGTGACCCACAGCACACTTCCTGCGTAAATGTATTCCCCGTGGGTAAAGGAACGTATGATAGGAAGAAAACAAAAGAATGTGTGCTGTCTGTGATGTCTCTTCCCCAGGAGTCAGTTGAGATGGTGAGGCTCTATCCTTAATGCAATGTCTCCATCTAGTGTCACACACTCTACAGGGACAACAGGCCTTATTTTCCAAATCAGATTCGATTTTGTTTTAAATCTAGTTCTTAATTTTCACAATTACGAAGGTGAAAATTATAAAGATGGATCCAAAAACATGAATTACTCTACTTTCTCACCATTGTTAAATCAAAATTTTACAACTAAGCTTAGAGGCAGAAACCACCAACATTAATTCAAATACTACATTCAATTATATATTAAGATATTGATTTCAGCACTGGGCGTGGTAGCTCATGTCTGTAATCCCAGCACTTTGGGAGGCTGAGGCAGGTGGGTCACCTGAGGTCAGGAGTTCGAGACCAGCCTGGGCAACACACAGAAACCCTGTCTCTACTAAAAATACAAAAAATTAGCCAGGCACGGTGGTGCATGCCTGTAATCCCAGCTACTTGGGAGGCTGAGGCATAAGAATCACTTGAACCCAGGAGGTGGAGGTTGCAGTGAGCCCAAATCGCACCACTGCACTACAGCATGGGCAACAGAGCAAGACTCTGTTAAATTATATATGTTTATATATTATATTGCAGGCTGGGCACGGTGGCTTATACCTGTAATCTGTAATCCCAGCACTTTGGGAGATAGATCACCTGAGGTCAAGAGTTCAAGACCAGCCAAGCCAACATGGTGAAACCCCATCTCTACTAAAAATACAAGAATTAGCTGAGCATGGTGGTGCATGCCTGTAATCCCAGCTACTCAGGAGGCTGAGGCAGGAGAATCACTCGAACCTGGGAGGTTGCAGTGAGCCGAGATTGTACGACTGCACTCCAGCCTGGGTGACAGACTGAGTGAGACTCTATCTCAAAAATACATAGCTAGATACAAATATAGATAGATAGATAGACAGACAGACAGGTTTCAAAGGGTTCCAGATGAACAAAGTGACATAAAAATGTCTCCAACAACAAAACACATTTGCCTTAGTCTATCCTGATAGTACCCCCCTCCAGACACTCCCCTGGTGCCATCTGCACATGTCCTTGCCACTGGAGGGTACCCGGGCTGCCAGCATCCAGGCCTTGGCTCAGCCCGGGGCTGACGGGAAGCACCTCCACTGCCTTTGGGCAGTTACACAACAAAACTCCTGCTCACTCTGCAGCCACGCCTCACCCGACTCCCTGAGGGCATGGAGCTTCCCACTGGGGCCCTCCGCTGGTGAACTGCGCTACACTGGATGTGACGTGGCGGAGGAAGGGAATGAACTACGAGGCCTGTGATGCCACGGATAAATACATCTAGTAATATCATTTAGAATGAAAAATTCAGAAAATTACAACACAGTTGTCTTTTCATCAAGTCAAAACCAACTAAAATTCCACAATGTACTCTTGAGGGACACAGAAACCTGTGTTTAGGAGGCCAGGGAACAGGAAGCAGGAGCTTCGGAAATGTCGTGGCTTCAGGCCACCGGGCAGGGGGATGGGATGTGGGAGAGGACACAGGTGGTTGGAAGTGACTGTTGGTGTTTTCGTGACCACCCTGGGCAGGTTTGCGGGTATTTACCATCACCCGTTTCAAGTCATTCATTCCAATTAAAATGGAATGAAAGAAGTCTATGCATGAACCAGAGCTGAGTGTGGGCTGTGAAGCAAGGACCACGGCACACCCAGTTACGCTCGCAGGGCCACAGATCGAAGAGAAGGAGTAAAAGAAGTGTTCGTCTATGTAGTCAAGGGAGTCAGTGCTCCTTCCACTGTGGCTGATGCCAGGTTACTCTTCCTTCACTCAACCACGACTCACAGCAAGACTATAGCTGAGAACACTGACGCTGGGTTTGCAAAGGAAGTCCTGCCGACAGCGTCCCAGCTCCAACCTCTCCCTTCTCACCCTGACCTCCCAGGCTCACCTCGTCACCTGGAGGATCGTGTCTTATTCCTAAATCTCTTGGCTTATACTAGAACATCAGAAAAGTTGCGCTGTATCTATTAGTTATTAATAATAGATTTCTAAGGCCGGGTGTGGGTGGCTCACGCCTGTAATCCCCGCACTTTGGGAGGCCGAGGAGGGTGGATCACCTGAGGTCGGGAGTTCGAGACCAGCCTGACCAACAGCAAGAAACCGTCTCTACTAAAAATACAAAATTAGCTGGGCGTGGTGATGTGTGTCTGTAATCCCAGCTACTTGGGAGACTGAGGCAGGAGAATTCCTTGAACCCGGGATGTGGAGGTTGCAGTGAGCAGAGACCACACCACTGCACTCCAGCCTGGTCAACAAGAGCGAAACTTTGTCTCAAAAAAATAAATAAATACAATAAAAATAATAGATTTCAATTAAAGTAGTAAATAAGTGTATGCCTCTTTCCACACATGAGCAAAACAGGTAACAGTTTACAAAATGATTTGTAGTTTTAAAAAGACATTGATGCATTTTCTTCTAAAACCTAAATATATTTTAATAGTATCCAAATCTTTCATCTACTATTAACTTTTAAATTGAGGTATTCATTAGTAATTTCTGTAAACTAAAATAACTATAAGCCTGAAAATATTAATATAATAGGCCTCTGGGGGAAAAAATGCTTTTCTAAGACAAAGATACTAACATGTTCCCTTTAGCTACTAAAACTAAATTTCAGAATTACTAATAAGCTGTATATAGGTACGTACCCCACCAAGCATGCTACATCCAAGTGCCAAGAATTTTATCCACTTGATTTTGTTATCACAAGGATCCAGTTGTAAGAGCGCTTTGAACTTTTCCTTCGGCAGGCACAAATTCTTCCACTTCTGCTCCAGATCGGTTAGTCCCACGTATTTCTTGTGGTGGCACTGTTTAGAAAACACAGTATGACACAATGTAGGTACATTTTAAAACCTGGGAAGCAATCGAATGCTCGTGAATACTTCAGCATACACCAAGTAACCCACCCCACGCCGTTGAAAGATGAACTCCAAACTCATGGCAGTGGGTTGTGTCGGCCCCGGGGAGTGGGGCGGAGAAGGTGGCGAGCGGCAACCTTTTATTTCTTAAATGATAAAAGGACGGTGAAGCGGATACGGCATCACGTCGTGACTTAATGAAATAGGCATACAGATACTGGGTATATGGTACTGTACCGTCTGAAATGCTTCACAATAAAAAATAAACCTCAGTAAGTAAAAACACTTTAAAAATACAGCCCCTAAACACATTAACAGTTAGATAGGATAAATCTTAAAACTGAAAATAAATGTATTCCTTCATTTTTTTTTTTTTTTTTTTTTTGAGACAGTCTCTTTCTGTTGTCTGGGCTGGAGTGCAATAGTATGATCTAGGCTCACTGCAATATCCACCTCACAAGATTAAGAAATTCTCCCCCCTCAGCCTCCTGAGTAGCTGGGATTACAGTGGCTCAGCATCACACGCTGCTAAGTTTTGTATTTTTATTGAAGACAAAGTTTCACCTTGTTGGCCAGGCTGGTCTTGAACTCCTGGCCTCAAGTGATCTGCCCGCCTCGGCCTCCCAAAGTGCTGGGATTACAGCCGTGAGCGACCGTGCCCAGCCTTCCTTCTATTTTAAACAATCTATCAAGACTGATAACTTCTGCACTCTGCTAGCGGTATCTTGGGTGAAAAGGCAAGATATCGCTAGCAGAGTGTAGAAGTTATCAGTCTTGCACTGATAACTTCAGCATGTCTTTTCCCAAGCTACACCATTCAAAAGCTATTTGTTTTCCTTAAGGTAGCCATGGAAAAATCCTAGTTTCAAAATTCAGCGTATCCTATGCAGAAGCACAGCACTTCACAACGTAGAATGGGGATAAGTCAGTTTGAAAATCCAGGTTATGTCACTGGTGTCGCTTTTAGCAAAAGAACTAAGTCATGAGGAATGCCAAGCTTTGCTCCATTACCCACGTCTCTAAAAACAGGATGAGGTGTGGGGCCAAGTGCAAGGCAGGAAAGGGGCCCAGGCTCTCCACAGAACTGGACACCAGAGGCCGATGCCCACAGCGGGCGCCAAAGGGCAGCCCTGCCTTTCAGATGGAGAAGGCAGAGGCTCACGCAGGCCCATACATGGCTTTCACAAATACACACCTGGAGAACAGACTGGAAATCCTCCAGGTTCTGGAAATTTGTATTTTTTGCCTAGCAGAATCTAGTGTCATCTAAACTTTGTATTTAAAAGAAATTATATGTCACTTGTCTAAAATCCACCCCTGGATAGTTACTTTGAGTTAAGCTAGAAAAAGACCTCGTGAACACGATGTATTTCTTCCTTGAATAAACCTTGATGATGCGTGGCAGAGAAGGCAGGGCTTCAGGGACCTCTGGAGGTTTTGAGATGCACCGCTGGGGTGGGTCACGTTCCGTGATCATGCACAGTGAACGGTAAGGAAAGCACAGGCTAGCTGCCTGAGGCCACAGACCCCCTTGTACCTGCTTGTGCAAAACTTTAAGGAGTCCTTGAGTCAGGCCCGTGTCTGTTTTCTGGGTTGCCGTGGGCATTTCCATCCTTTCCTTTACAGGAAGTGGGTCTCCTCTCGACAAGGCTGAAAAATATCTAATAAATAACAGACATCTCTGAAAGCTCATCAATACACAAACAGCAGCTATGCAATGCATTTCTTAAATAACCCCTGAAAACAACGGTGATGAGGAAGGACCAGCAACCCGGGCTCGAGTCCTGGATCCTCCACTTAGCTCTTTGACTTAACCTTCCCTGCATGCCTTAGTTTCTCTGTTGGCCAAACGGATAACGAGAGTGCCTGTTGGCGGGTCTGGGAGCACTGTGTGTGTGAGCAGGGCTTGGCGCAGTGGCTGCCACTCGCTCCTTCAACGTGTGTTATTCTTCCCCAGCCCCCAACCCCCTGCCGCACTTCATAATCAGCTGGAACTCCATGTAGTGTTTTTTTTTTTTCTCCTAAAGTTTTCGAGACAGGGTCTCACTCCGTCACCTAGGCTGGAGTGCAGTGGCATAATCACGGCTCACTGCAAGCCTCGACCTCCCAGCCTCAAGGGATCCTCCCACCCAAGCCTCCTGAGTGGCTGGGACTACAGGCATGCACCACCACACCTGGCTAATGTTTTTCATTATTTCTTGTAGAGCTGGGGTCTTACTCCGTTGCCCATGCTGGTCTGGAATGCCCGGCCTCAAGGGATCCTTGCGGCTTGGCCTCCCACAGTGCTAGGATTATAGGTGTGAGCCACTGTGCCCAGCCATCATCCCACAACAGGTGGGTTTGGTCTTGCTGCTTTTTGAGGTGCTTGACTTTAAGCGTCTCTGCATATTTAACTCTGAGGCAGCCCGGGAACACACAGGCCACCTATTTCCACACTGGGAATGACAGGTGCTGGCCTGTCCCACCTTTCCACTGTTCCTGCCTGGCATTTGTCCCCTTAATTGTTCCTTTCTGGGACACTGATATTGCTGCTGATGTTGGGGACAGAGTGGGGAACTATCGGGGCAGTAAGTCAAGAGGGAACCCACATCCAGCCTCCGGCTCGTGCTGGCATGGGTGCCAGGCAAGACCTTCTGAGAAACCCATGCCCCTTGGTATCTTTGCCAGAGGTGGCGATACTGAAGCCACCTCCTTTGGGGCCCTAATGACTTTAGCCTGATGAAAAGAGACGGCATGTCCAGGAAATGAACATGAAAGCATATGCCAGGGCCACAGGGCAGAGTTTAAAGCCACGAGTAGTCAGAAATTTCTCGTACAGATAAATATGGGTAAGTCGATATTTGATAGACTAAACTTCCTATCTCATCCTTTTTTTTTTTTTTTTTTTTTTTTTTTACAAAGATGGAGTTTCACCATGTTGGCCAGGCTGGTCTTGAACTCCTGACCTCAGGTGATCCACCCACTTTGGCCTCCCAAAGTGCTAGGATTACAGGCGTGAGCCACCGCACCCGGCTCGTCCTTTCTATTTACGTCCTTCCAATTTGACTTTCTTTTCTTCTTGTAAGACAACTTCAGCTCCATTTTGTGGATTTGTTAAGGATTTGAAGGAAAGTTAAAATGATGGTGGCAGTGAGCGAGACAAACGTGGCCCTAAAGACCTAAATGGTGCAGGCGAAGAGCGGGCACCTAGCCACATTCCTACTAATCAAGGTTTTCATCTGTTTCATGGGGGTAATTTCTCATAACTGAGGTAAGGAACCCAGGCTGGATGCAGCCTCTGGAGGCAGGGCTGTCAGGGGGGTACAATGCTCCCCCTCTTCCTCCCCCGCCAAGGCATTTGGCAATTTCTGGAGACCTTTTTTTTTTTTTTTTTTGAGACACAGTCTTGCTCTGTGGCCCAGGCTGGAGTGCAGTGGCACCATCTCGGCTCATTGCAACCTCCACCTCCTGGGTTCAAGAGATTCTCCAGCCTCAGCCTTCTGAGTAGCTGGGATTACACATGTGCACCACGAAGCCCAGCTAATTTTTTGTATTTTAGTAGAGACAGGGTTTCACCATGTTGCCCTCAGGGTCATCTCAAACTCCTGAGCTCAGACAATCCACCCACCTCGGCCTCCCAAAGTGCTGGGATTACAGGCGTGAGCCACTGTGCCCCGCCTGGAAACATTTTTGTTTGTCACAACAGAGGGTGGATGGTACTCCAGGCATCCAGGGGGTGCAGGCCAGGATGCCCCTTCCTCCTGTGCCCACCCCAACGGTCAGTAGAGCCGAGGCTGGGAAAGTCTGCTTTTGAGGTGAGACCAACTAATATTACTCTCTGCCAGTTCCCGGAGGTGCACGCGAGCCAAAGCAGCCTCTATTACGTGACCGATTCTTGCGTTCATTGTCCTGTGTGAGGCACAACTGCGCAATGGTATCATAGGAACAGCCGACTCCCCTCACGGTGGAGTCCACAGGCTCCGGGGGAGGCTGGCTCATCTTTGATATCTGGCCACCTGAAAAGCTCCTTTGAAAAGAACCCTAACCTGAGGAAACAAGAATGCCTACTTGTTTGCTCTTTTTCTTTTTTTTCCTTTTTTAGACAGGCTCTTGCTATGTCACCCCAGCTGGGGTACAGTATTGTGAACAGGGCTCACTGAAGCCTCCAACTCCTGGGCTCAAGCAATCCTCCTGCCTCAGCCTCCTGAATAGCTGGGACTAGAGGCACGTACCACCACAGCTGGCTCATTTTATTTTTAGTACAGACAAGGTCTTGCAATGTTGCCCAGGCTGGTTTCGAACTCCTGAGCTCAAGCAATCTGCCCACCTCGTCCTCCCAAAATGCAGGGATTACAGGCGTGAGCCACGCGCTCGGCCCACTTGCTTGTTCTAAAGCAGTTATGTCTGTGGGTATCCTGGTTTCCTGTTTCGGTTTTGATGGGTTTTCTTCTTCTGTCTCCGCCCCCTTCTTCCTGTGCTGCTTCCTCTTCCTGGAATGCTCTCCACCCCACCTGAACCCCAATCTCTGTGCCCACAAAATCTCTCAAGGACCAAGTCACTCTTCGCTTAACTTTCACGACCCTTCATTTTTGCACTTACCAAGTCCCACCTTGAGTTACTTATGAACAGCTCTCCCTAACAGATTACATCCTATGACAGCTGAAATGCATTTGAGCCTATTACAGACACACTGCCGAATGAATAACGCCTAGGTTTTCTCCTAAACTCAAAAATTGATCTTGGCTAGCCACCGTGGCTCAAGCCCATCATCCCAGCACTTTGGGAGGCCAAGGCTGGAGGATCAAGGTCATGAGTTCGAGACCAGCCTGGTTCACATGGTGAAACCCCGTCTCTACTAAAAATACAAAAATTAGCCAGATGTGGTGGCAAGCACCTATAATCCCAGTTACTCAGGAGGCTGAGGCAGGAGAATCACTTGAACCCAGAAGGTGGAGGTTGCAATGAGCTGTGATCTCGCTATTGCACTCCAGCCTGGGCAATGAGTGAAGCTCCATCTCAAAATAAATAAATAAATAGATAAACAAACAAACGAAGCAAAGCTTAAAACAACTGTCTCTAAGCTATTACTAAATACAATTTAATGTTCCAGGAAAAAGTTGATAAGTCTTGGAATTTTTTTGTAGACACAAACTCTTATAAATCCTTTTATTTAAGCTTGAAAAACGGTTAAAACCAGAGGCTATGTTTCTTTAGCAAGAACCTTGAAAGAGTCTTTCAGAAACAATTGATAAAAGGGTTTCTCAGAAGGCAAGCAGGGGATGGAGAAGCAGCTCAGCTGGTGGGTAAAATAACAGCCCCAAAGGTATCCAGGTCCAAGTCCCTGGAACCTGGAAATGTTACTTTTCATGTTAACAAGGATTTTGTAGACTGATTAAGGATCTTGGGTGGGAAAATTGCCCTGGACTATCTGGATAGTCACTGAATGCAATTACCAGTGTTCTTGGAAGAGGGAGGCAGAGGGAGATGTGAAGATGCTGGCCTTGAAAATGGAGGAAGGGGACATGAGCCAAGGAGTCTGGAATACAGCTCCAGAAGCCGGAAAAGGCAAGCAAATGAGCTAGGTTCTCCTGAGAGTCCAGCAAACAGCAAAGCCCTGCCAATGCTGGGATTCACATGGGGTGGCTGGCAAAATATTAGGGAAGTTATAGATTATAGTCTCAAACTTTTTGGAAGGCTGAAAGGTTTTAATGACAATGGGCTGAAGGCAGCCAGTTCATACATTAGAGTATTAAGTGATAGAGTAAAAAGATTAGGATAATAAAAGCTTCCCCAATTAAGTCCATGTACCCCACATTCCTTTGTCTCTACTCTATTTATTCATGTAAACTGTGCTGGATGGTCCTCTCCGGGGAGGTTGAAGGGGGATTACCTGTTAATGGTGTTTATTCTGGGCCCGGAATCAAGACCTTTTATCATCCGTAAAACCTCTCTTTTAACCATGTTAATTATCCACAATCATGTTGACTTAGAAGCTCTGTTATTAAATCTACACTGAATAAATGCAAGGAGGAACAGGGAGTGGTGGTCGGTTGGCTGCAATCTCCCTCTGAGAGCAGCCAATGACCATCCCTAGCCCACTCGACACTGTATTGTGTGTGCGTGAGTGCATTCATTCACCTGGTCACTGAGTCAGGATCTGCAGGACAGACCTCCACAGGTGGTGATCAGTGTCTCATGCCACCTTGATTTTAGCCTAGTGGAACTGATTTTGGAATTTTGGCCTCCAGAACTGCAAGAAAGTATGTCTGTGTTTTCAGCTGTCAAGTTCTGTGGTGATTTGTTACAGTGGAAGGAAATTAATTCACCTTGGTTATAGAATTCAAAGAAAGTCAGCAAAATTTGACCTTTTTTTTCTTTTTCTTTTTCTTATTAAAAAAAAAATAGAGATGGGGTCTTCTATGTTGCCCAGGCTGATCTCAAACTCTTGGGCTCAAGCAATCCTCCCAGCTTGACCTCCCAAAGTGCTGGGATTACAGGCATAAGCCGCCAAGCCCAGCCAAAATTTGACATGTCGTTGACTAAAATATTTAAATTAAACTTACACCTATGTTGACTCTTGTCATCGTAAAAGTTTTTGTTTTACATCTGTTTATTGAAAAGGGGCAAAGAGCTCTCCTGTAAAACCAAGATTTATTTTAATGCCTCTAAGATCTGTTTACTTGTAACTCTGAGATTATGAATGTGTATTCCTGGAAAGGGTTGGAATGTTTGTGGCAAAAAAACTGTGAAGGTTCATTTGCTGGACAATTTACCCTAAGCACTCCTTGGATGATGACCGCAGTACGACCTCGGCCATTCCGGTTCTAATAAATTTAACCAGCTCTGGGTATGCATAGCTCTGAGAGGATTCTCTGCAGATGAGGAACTTAGCTAAAAGAGTCCTCTTTGTAAAATCATTTCACAAAGTTATCGCAACCGCGTAATATTATAATATAGACACTTCTTGCGCAATGCAATTGCTTTGTTAAGTTTTAGTCTATCTTCATAAACACCACTTTTTAACAATTGAGTTGACACTACTTTGTAGGTAAGTGAGCATTTTACAGTAATTTCGGGTTTCATGGTCAATACATCGAAATGGTTCCTAGATAGACACTCAGGTATAGATGTCACCAATGCTAAGGGGAAAATTTTGCCTGATACTCTAAGGACGCTGAGCGCCGCGTCGGGCCCCTGGTCCGGGAGAACGGCTCTCTGGTTCTGTCTTGGACTCGCAGACCGGACTGCTCCCCCGGCCGAGGAGGCTTACCCCGCGGACCACTGCAGCACGTCGGCCGGCTGGGTGCGGATGGCAGCCTTGGTGAACTGCTTCAGGATGTCCGGCAGCTCCGGGGGAATGTGGATCTGCTGAGCGCAGAACATGGTGTCCGGAAGAGGCATCGCTCTCCGCAGGCCGGACCAGGCTGGGGAATCGCGGCGCGCTGCGGGGAGGAAGGGCGGCCGTCGGCTCGGGCGCGGTGGAGCAGCTAGCAGCGCGGGGATCGTGGCCCTGGCCGCCCGCCCTCCCGCTCCTGAGGTTGGGGCCGGCTTCCCGGGTGCTCTTACCGGCTCCTCCGCGGGTTTCCTCGAGAAATGAGGACCAACTGCCTCCCCAGCTACACCCTAGACCCTGCAGATAGCGAGCTTGGGCCGCTGCGAGGGACGCGCTCGGTATCCGGGCAACCGGGACGCGCGCAGGCCCCGCCCCCGACACCGCGCACGCGCACACGGCCCTGAGCGAGGCGGGGCTGCCCCGGGCGGGATGGGGAGGTACTGGCGGGGTCCGGCTGGAAGCCGTCGCCGCTCTCCAGTGCTTCAGAGCCGCGGGAGCTGAGCGTCTCACCTAGGTAAGGGTCTTCGGATCTGTTTCCCGCCGCCGAATGTGAGCGGCGAACTCACAAAGGACTCCTTCTTCCCCGTGCTCTGGCTACGTGAGGCTGAGGCGAGGGTACTCGGGCCTGCTAGGAGGGAAGCGGGTGAAGTGACGGGGCTGATCGCCCGGGCGGCGCGGGACCCGACTGCGCCCGAGGCCGCTTCTCCCAACGTCTCGGGCCTCGAACTGCCCACGTGCCTAAGCCGTCCCTTAGTGAATCTCAGTTCTTAAGTTAAAAAGCCACTTAGACAGTGGGCAGTTCCAGCTAAAACAATATTGTATTTCTTAAGATAGGGTGGTTGAGCCAATGTGACCGGCTCTAGGAGAAAATAAGTCACATCTCCTGTCAAAAGAGCTTTGAGTGGAAGGATAGGGGAAACCTGGAATTTGGTGGGTGCTGACGAAGGCACCATAACTTTGCTTTAGGGAGTGACCTGACTGGCTGCTGCAGTTGCCGTTAACAGCCACCGTATGCGTGAGACCCCCAGACCCACCACCTCTTGCTCACCTCCAAACAGGAAGATGGAGAAAACTACAGTGAGCTACTTCCAAGACGGGTCAATGGCAAGCCCTCTCTTCAAGGAAACTGGGGAAGTTGCCCGATTTTGATCGTTTCCGTTGGGTCCAAAATACACATATAAACATTTCTGAATTAACAGCATTGGCAAAAACTGAAAATACTTGTCAACAAGGAAATTGGGCCAGGCGCGGTGGCTCAGCCTGTGAATCCCAGCACTTTGGGAAGCCAAGGGGAGCGGATCGCCTGAGGTCAAGAATTCTAGAACAGTCTGGCCAAAATGAAATCCCCGTCTCTACAAAAGATTAGCTGGGCATGGTGGCGCGTGCCTATAATCACAGCTGTTTGAGAGGCTGAGGCAGGAGAATAGCTTGAGCCCAGGAGGCGGAGGTTGCAGTGAGCAGAGATTGCGCCACTGCACTCCAGCCTGGGCGACAGAGCAAGACTCTGTCTCAAAAAAAAAAAAAAAAAGGAATCTTACACAGTGTTGAGGATGTTAATTAGTACCTTTAGGGGGCAATTTGACACTGTAAAATTTTTTTATGATTGTGCAATATTACTTCTGGGAATTCATCCTACATAAATACTATAAAAAGTAATATGTATAAAAACCTTTACTATACCATATAATTAAATGGGATAATTGTCTTCTGTAAAACAAATCATGGCCTGGCCACACAATGGTATGAAAAAAAGACACCCATGATATATAAAGTGACAAAAAGCATCTTGTCGAACAATCTGTGTAGTATGACACATTTATGGTGATAAATGATTCTGTGAATGTGTGTCTGGAAGCATATAACTAAACTATAACAGCAATTACTTATGGGAAATGAGACAGGGCTTTCAGGTTTTATTTTGGCCACATTATTTTGATTCTAAATTCATTATTTACTAACTTAGCAATACTATTGAGTACCAAATATTTGCCAGGGAAGTGTTCTGGAAATACAGTAATAATTGTTAAAAAAAAAAATCTTTGGAGCTTACATTCAAGTGGGTAAAATATGCAAATGTAAACAAAGGTAAACCATATGTTTAAAAGGACAAAAGAGAGCAGGGAGTACAAAATACAGCAGGGAGATGAGACAGGAATTCCCCAGTAGCTGCAGCTTTCAATAAGCCTCAGTAAGAATGACACTTGAGGAAAAATGAGGAGGCTGAAGAGCCTGAATGAACATTTGGGTATGGCAAATAGCAAGTGCAAAGGCCCTAAGGCCTGACCTGTTTTGGAAGCAGGGAGGACAGCGGAAGCAGGGTGAACACAGAGGTGATGGGTCACAGAAGGAAGGAAAGGGGTGCCCCATGGTTTGCCCAGCTTTGAAGGCTATTGTGGACTTTGAGTGTGATGGTAGTCTATTGGAGAGTTCTGAGGATTGGTGTGATCTGACTTGGATCGCAAGGAGAACATTCTGGATTCAATGTTGAAAATGAATGGAAAAAAGCAAAGGCAGAGGCAGCAAGCTCAGGAGAAACAGTAATTGAGACTTCTTTATGTAATCTAGATGCAAGTCATTTATCAGAAATGTTTTGCAAATATTTTCTGCCATATTACAGCTTGTCTTTTTGTTCTCTTAATGGTATCTTTCAAAGAGAAGTTTTCAATTTTGATAAAGTACAAGTTATCGATTTTTCCATCTTGGATTGTGCTTTTGGTGTTGGATCTAAGAAATCTTTGCCTAACCCAAGGCTGAACATGTTTTCCTTGTTGTCTTCTAGAAATTATAGTTTTGGGTTTTATGTCTAGAACTATAATCCATTTCGACTTTAATCTTTGCATGTGTTAAGATATGGGTCAATTTTTAATTTTGCATCTGATTACCCAATTATTCCAGCACCAGCTTTTCAAAACCTTTGCATCTTTGTCAAAAATCAGTTGTTCACATACATGCTGGGCTGTTTCTGGACTCTGTTCTGTTCCATCAGACCAACCTACAGCCAGCAGAAGGGACTGATCCCAAAAACATACGAGTGAATGAATGGGGGTACTGGGTATGAAGCTTCTCTTCTTTAGGTGTGTCCTAAAGAAGAGTTACTGAACAAACACTGAGAAGCAGAAAAACTCCAGCACTGCTACATATGTAAAGAGGTTTCAGAATAATTAAACAATGTAAAATGAGGCAAAAAAGGACTTCCATGCAGCATTTACATATGGGTGGTTTTGGAGAAGTGTGTAAGTAGAACGAGACAGAAGGCTGAAAGAGTAATGGTAGGGGGCTACATACACAGAACAGTGACTACGGAAGTGGCAAGGCCATCTCTCCCAGGTGAATCTTTCTGTGTTCCCCATGGCATTTTATTCATACCTCTGTAATACAATCTTTTGCTCATGTTTCTGTTCCACTTTGAGCTCCTTGAAGGGAGACATCGTACCTCATTCAACTATAGTACTAAGTACAGTGCTAGAAATAAAACGGACACCAAAATAAAAGCATTGGGGAGGGGAATGCTACCTTCTCAGCCCAGTTCTCCTTTATCACTGTGTGTTTGCAACAAGAGTAGCTAACTGTGATGTGGAAGGGGGAAATTGATGGCCATTTTCTGAACTTAAACATGCAATTTCCTTTGCTCAAAAATTTCAACTTCACAGACTAAGGATATGTATGATTCAAATAGCATTTCCTCTATCACCCCTGCATTTAAAGTAAATAAAAATGCATTTGGTTGGGGGAAAACAATCATGGAAAAAATGTTGAACCTAGAAACAAGGAAAAATCACAAAGTCTGTGAAGCAAAAGGATCTCCTCAGGGCACTCAGAAGGAAAAAAAAACATCATGCAAATCTCTCCTTTTTCTCTGGGATATATGGTGAAGTATGTAAAATGGATTTGATTGGTTTTACTTTAAGTATTCAGCTGAAAGACAACCTTAGCAAAACTCTTTCTGATCTCATAGCAGACATGCAGAAGTGGGCAGTATCTTGCCATCGCACAAAATGTGGGGTTTTCCTCTTCCCAGTGAGGAGTCTACAGCCCAAGTTGGGGAGACTGGACGGGAGGGATGTGTTCTCTGCAACTATACATTTAAACTTATTCATAAAGGGGAGGAGCCAGTCACATTTAACTGGAGTTATTTTTCTTTCCTATTAAAAACATCTAGATTATCTATGCGGGCTAACAATGCATAATTCTGCAATCTTAAAGCAATTTTGCAACAAGGCAAAAACAAAAAAAAACTAGACTACAACTAACATCCACTTTATTCAATTTTGTTCTCTCAACTTAGAAGGCAACGTCCCTATGACCATCAGAATATATGTACATAAAACTGATCTGGGTACCTAAGGTGTTTAATAGAAGATTAACTAAATGTGCTATCTAGCTTCTACAACAGTTATTCCTAGACCTCAGTCATAATATATTTTTTAAGGTACTACGACACTTTCATGAGGCACTCGTACAAAACAGGAATGAGAACATACATAGAGTGTCTTATCTTTACGTTGTACTAATGCCGAAGATATTGTCAGGAATTTTAAAGAAGCCCTTACTCATGATGGCTATTTTTAAAAATGGCACAGAACAGTAACAAGCTGAAAAGAAAACGTTTGATTGAGGGGACACCTTAAGTAAATATAAGACAGCTTAACCAAGAAAGTTAGCGAAATCTCCACAAATGAGACTTTTAATAATACTTCAGTGGTAAGACATTTTAGTTGTTTTTTTCTTGATGGCTGAATAATTAACAACCTAAAGGAGTATTTTAAACATATCTTTTAATTTTACAATGTAGAAAACTTCTCACATTAAGTAGAGAGCTTACTCAACCCTGAAAATGAAAAGAAGTAGCTAACTTGCCAAGTTTTAAAAGTGCCAGTGTTCTGTGGCACTACATTTTCCTGCATGTGTGCGTGTTCACGCACATTCGCAAACACAATACAATGTAGAAATGTCCAGTGTTTGTTTTGTTTTAAAAAGTCATCAATTCAACCTAAATTCAAGAATTACACTTTAATAGTGGCATTTTGCCAATACAGAAATGACGTATCTTGGATCAAATCATTTGAAGGAAAGTTATTACTTAAGGGAAAGAAAATACACAAGAATCCACAAGAATAACAGTTACATTAAATGTTGAAATAAAAATTATTTTTTGTTTACATCTGGAATTCAGATGGCCCATCCTCACTGTTTCTGCAGAGAACTAAGAGGGGGAAAAGAAAATCACCTAAATACATGGAGGTATTTTTTAAGGCTAGCTATATACAAACTCCACATTGGCATTTTTCTTCAGTCTTCATCTCAACTATTAAAGAGTTTAAAAATCAAACATAATTTACTAATGAACAACTGCACACTTCATATACTAT